CATCGTGCTTTATTTTGTATTCGATCATGGAATGTAGGCGGCTGGGCAGCATTTATTGCTTATCCCTGATTGCCCCGGTGAAGGTGCGGAGCTGCCGCTTTGAACCACTGCAGTCCACGAGTGCTGTTAGGGAGGGAGTTCCAGGAATTTGACTCAGCGACAGTGAAGGAATGGTGATGTGGTTCCAAGTCAGGATGGTGTGTGGCTTGAAGAGGAATTTGCAAGTGGTGGTGTTCCCAAACAGCGGCTGCAGCCCCTGTGCTTTTAGATTTCCATATACATCTGTTTAAGAGAATTAAAGTCATCTTTAAAAATTAAGAAGCGGAAAGCTGTTTACATTGATTTCCACCTGCACTCTGATCATTTTGGATAGTGATATTTTGTAATTCGGTGTTTCTCAAAGCCTCCAACAGTTCTAACACTAAAACAAATGCATACATCAACTAGATTTGAAGCTAAACAGTATCATATACATGTTGTAATGATAGTTGTAGTGATAGTTGTATTTCCAAAAGTAGACGTTTAAACACTTTTTCATGGGCAGGCTGAAACATAAGAATATCATAGGGACAGAACGAACTATTTAGGGATAACCCCAGTGTCTACTATTAGAAGAAATTGTGCCAAGAGTACATACTATACTTCCACTTTTCTAAAATAACAGCATTCATGCATTTTCCATTTCGCATATTTTAGGTAGTGTTTTGAAAGCGTTGAAGTTATTAGGGATGCTATTTTTTACTCTACAGGTTGAAATGTCTGTTCAACTGAATAAATAGCAATGGTCTGATGGTACCTAGGCTTTTTTAATTCAGCGAAGGAACGCGACTGATTGATCAAATGTCCTGTTTACATGATGCTTTAATTCACGGAGGACTTTTTTTGTTCAACGTATTTCAGAATTATTAATCTAAACTTTTCAGATGTGCATGAATGTTGAAGGAATGGCTTTGTTTCCAATTGGCAATGCTTTTTTTTCTGATAAGAGTAAATTTTGTACGAAGTGCAAAGAAGCAGTTTAGCTGAGCAATACTTTCTTCAAGGTGGGGCTTTGCATCCAAACCTTTCCAGCTCGCTGTTATATCTAATACATTGGCTGCTAAGTATCATGCAAAAAATACGATCATCTAGGTTGTGCTTCAGTACAAAGAGGAAGAGTTATAGCGGACTAGAAACGGTAACTCTACAGCTCTCTTTACAGAAACTGCCAGACCTGTAGAGTTTCTCCAGCAATTTCTGTTTTTATTTAACAAAACGACATCTCTTTGAACACGCTGCCATTTCCAAACGAAAATCTCCAAGTGGTTTTCTTTAACGTGTATATAAAATGAAACGTGTAGTAAGCAGGTTTCACAAGGCACACTGTGAATATGTAGATTTCTGCATTAATGACTTGCCCCAGTTGAGATTTTGAATGACATTGCTGTCGATTTGAGACTATCGAAGTGGAGAGAGAAAATGTAAGAAGCATGCGCGTTGGGGCTGGAAATGACATTGGATAATAAGGCGAAAATGAGACAGAGAATATCAAACGGTGAAATTACCCCAGACAGTAGTAAGGTCGTCGTTGGATAGACCGGCGTTATAGGTATCGGTTCAAAGTTCGTCTTCAACTGGTAGATTGCTTTGAGTGGACCTGGCAGCTAGTTAATTGCATTGACTTTTGTTTGGAATTGGGGCGGAGGCTGTAAGAGACACTTAAAACTACAATAAACGATGAGTTGAAATGGAGCTGAAAGGAATGAGGTCAAGCGCACCTCACGACATAGGCGCCGACTTCAGTCAAACTGTTTGGTGGTGGAATGATGCATACTCCTCTTGGTTTCCTTCGAGTTTTTATTTCTTTTTTTAAAAACAAACGTGAATGAAGACCGGCTGGTTACTGTGCATGTGGAGTGTAAGGTGCAGTAGTTGCCTTAATAAGCTGGGCAGCTGCGCAGTGAAATAAATAACCGGGGCTACTGGAGCTTTTGTCATCTCGTTGCTGTGTGCTCTAATGGTTCAAATGATTCACTGACCATCCAGAGTATTTCTCTTGAGATTAGTACGGCTGAAATATCCTTGCCTCGCACAGCGCGCCCAATGCCCAGGTAGAAGGGAGCCCCTGTTTCTGCCCGGAAGAGCTATTAGTATTGCTTAAAGCAAGCGAGCGGCACTGTGGAGAAATTTATAGGGGTTGGTGGGGGAAATATCCAAAATATTGCGGATGCTAGAAATCTGAAATAGAAAGCTAAGTATATGAGACTGATGGCATCCCTGCAGTTAGAAACAGTGAACGTTTCGGGACACTGACCTTGCATTAGACTTATGGACGGAGGGGTCTTGATGAATGCTTGCCGAGCTGAAGCATTAATTTCCACTTCCCTACCTGCTGCCTGGCTTGTCAACCACGAATATAGAGAGTTCTTGTCGAACCAGACATCAACATAGTCAAATTCGGTCCTCTTGGTGTTCAAGTGCAGTCCCACTTCGAGCAAACCTTACCCACCTTTTGGCGAGGGTTTGGTGGCATTGTGGCAGTGTCCTTTCTTTAGGACCCGTTGGTCGGGGTTCAAGTCCTACCTGCCCCAGATATGTGCGGTAACAGATACGGTCAGTGGTGAACTGAATAGGAGATGTGTTACTAAGGTGGTAGCGCACTGATACCAGTTCTAAATCTAACAACCTGGTGTAGCAACAAACCAAAACAGAAATTGCTGGAGGAAATCAGCAGGTCCGGCAGCATCTGTGGAGTGAGAAACAGAGTTAATTTTTCCAGTCAGATGACCCACCTCCAGAAGGGACAGATTATTCAACTCTGCCGTATCAACATTATATAAATGAGTTGTGTGAAATCTTGGTAGGACCTTGAGATTGAAACGTTTTTTGCTCGCTACTTGCACATTCCCAAACCTCTCTGACATCAGATTGGGGCTTGTCTAAATCTCAAGTCTCGCTAATCTCAGTTTCTTGTAGTTACAAAGAAGCTTAAATAACTGAGATAGTAGGAACTGACGATGCTGGAGAATCTGAGATAACAAGGTGTAGAGCTGGATGAACACAGCAGGCCAAGCAGCATCAGAGCAGCAGGAAAGCTGACGTTTCGGGTCTGGACCCTTCTTCAGAAATGGGGAGGGGAAGAGGCTCTGAAATAAATAAACGTGGTGGGGGAGGGTGGTGATAGAAGGTGGATAGTGGAGCAGACAGGTGGGAGAGAAGATGGACAGGTCAAGGAGGCGGGGA